CTTATGAATTCCTTGACTTACTTTTCTTACATTCAGAATATTTTTAAAAATTCAGGGGTTATAGAGTTTTGTTTACTGAAAAATTAACTGGTTTCATTTCCTGACCTTTTGCTACTCAAGTCACTTACGACAGAGCTTTAATTTACATAGCTTTACCGCTATCTACTACAGAATCATTAGTTTGTGTTTGAATGATCGAGGGACCAATACACTCTCCTGTTGTTTCCTGACTTAGATATTCTTATGAAATTACTTTAATTCTAACATTCTGTAAGTTTCAGGCTGGGGCCACATTGGTTCACCACTGCAAGTGCAGTTCTGCCCTTCACCAGATACATTAATCTGAAGAGAGCTAGGCACCCCCATGTTACTACAGCGTTACAATAGTCACGAGCCGGAAACAAGCTGAGTGCCCACTGACAGACAAGTGAGTAAAGATGTGGTAGATACACACAGTAGAATACTACTCAGCTGTTCATAAAAGAAAGAAAGGTGAAGCTCTGCCATTTTGAACAACATCAATGGACACAGAGGATATTATGCTTAGAGAAATAAGCCGGAAGTGGACAATTACCACATGATTTCACTCATGAACTATATAGAAGGAATAAATGAAGAAAAGCAAATAAATGGATGAACTAAATAAAACAAAAACAAGCTTTTAGGCTGTAAGACTACCTAGTGGTTATGCTAGCACTGACGAGGACTTCTGATGAAGTCTTAGTGAGCCTTCTGATCTGTGACTTGAATTTTTCCATGAGTTAGGGACAGGTATGTGTGCTGCTTTCTTCTCAATTAGGCTTTGTGATTTACAGGTTTTCATCACACATCCTAGTGCACTTACTACAAAGACTGGACAGGTCAGGTTGATGGTCAGGACACCCCCGCTCCTGGCAGAAGTGTCTGCCCAGGACTCTTAAGTGCAATGAGCTTAAATACATGTTGATATCAAGTTAGATTAGTACAGCCTCACAGGTCTACTGCTTGGTAAAGTGATTTTTAAATTCTCCTTAATTCATCAGAGCAAATACATATTTTAGCTCTAAATTAAAATAATGGAAGTAAGTCAGTATGAAATAATTATGTAAATGTGGGTAGTTCTTTGGTTTGTGGTCACATTTTGATGGTGTTCATACTGATATACTACAGATTTACTTTGAATTGTGCAGCTTTGCATAATGCATTTTGAATACTTGAATTTTATGCCAAAGGTAAAACTAAACTCACTTTTTCTTTATGAAAAGCTAGAAATATTTCCGACCATTTGATATATGTTTTATCCAGACTAAAATCTGTATTTCCACTTTGTGCCTTTGTGTTTTTGATAGCTGTCTGAAAATATTTTTTAGTTTCACATTTTTTTAAAAGGAGGAGTTATTGTTAAATACATTGTAACAACTTGTCACTTGTCTTGAACTCAACTTCCCATTGTCCAAATACAGATAGTAACCAGAAAAATGCTTGTCATCCTTTAGGATCAAGGAGATGCATATTAAAGCCACAGTGAGGTACACCTCACTCCCGTGAGAATCAGCATAGCAAGACCAGAAATTGCAAGTGTTGGAAAGGATCTGGAGAAGGTGCCCTTGTACACTTTTGGTGGGAATGTGGATTGGCCTAGTTCCTATGGAAAACAGTATGGAGATTTCTCAAAATACTAAAAATAGATCTACTGTGTAACCCAGCAATTCCATCCCTAGGTATCTCCCCAAAGAATGAAAACATCAGTCTGAAAGGGGATTTGCGCTCCTTTGTTCATTGCAGCACTGTTGCAGAGCATACCAGGGAAGCAGCCTAAGTGCCCACGACCAGGTGAAAGGATTAAAGTGTGGTGGTGCAGAGAGTTAAGTCTCGGAACTCTGCTGCTGTCACCAGCCACTGCAACATCGGTTCGATCCCCAGCCAGGTAGCCAGCAGCCCTCTTCTGTCTTGCCGCTGCGCTCAGCAGTGTATTTTAGTAGAGCTGCATGTTCTGCTCCCCACTCTGTCTCTGGTAAATCCTCTCACCCTCCACACCTCTGGCCTGCACACCAGTTCTTGTGTGCATAAATAAATAAATCTTAGCAAAAAATAAGGTAGTATGCACACAGAGGAATACTACACAGCTGTATAAAAATAGGTGAAATCTAATTACTTGCAACAATGTGGATGTAACTGGAGGGAATTATGCTAATTGAAATAAGCCAGAAGGAAGTTTCACTATTGTGAATTATCAAGAAACAAAACAAAGGAGCAGACAAAACTAAACCAAAACAAATCCTAAAAATGTGGCCATAGCACTTAGGTACAGGAAGCCTAGGGGTTGTGCTACAGGTAGAGGGAACCCAGTGGACTGTGGTGGAAGAGTATGGGTACTTTGACGGTGGGTGGATCTATCTGAAGAGGTGTGACCCTATATCATATACAGTGTTGTAAACTATTGCTAACCTGAGTAAAAAATAATTAAGTAAAAAAAAAAAACAACCTGTTTGCACGAATGAAAAAAAAATAGATGAGGGACAGTTTCTGGATAACAAAATAGATATTGCAAAATATACAGTTAACCTCGTCCTTTAAAACCCATTTGCAGTCTTCCTTTAAGCAACACTGTTAAAAACCAAGTTATGTGGTTTTCACATCACTGCAGACTAGAGACAGAAAATAAAAGTGAGCCTTAGATGTCAACCTGTGACAGAGAAACAGGAAGGAGGCGGACCCCCATGTGTAGAGAGCTCGTTCATCCTCCTGAGTCACACCCCGGCAGTGTCTCCCAAGTCACGGGTTTGCGGTGTTGACCCCGCGCCATTCGGGGGGTTTTCTAATGTCTAGTGTGCCCTAACAACAGGTACATGACACCTTTCAGGAAAGTAGGTGGGCCTGGTTATTTTTTATTACCCACCACTCAACTTTATGCACTCTTAACATTGCCACATTTTTAATTTATTTTCCCAGAAGTGAGATATTGTAGGTATGTCGGGGCCCTCATCTACCCCTTTCCTTTTCTCCTCTGAGCTGTACTGCCTGAGTGTTCCCAGGCAGGGGTTTTCCTTGCACTGCAGACCCAGACACACAAACAGCAATAAGCTTTTCAGGTCTTCAGATAGGTGGAGAAATGCTTACCTATTTTCTGTCCATTATTTTTACTCAAGCTGTGAACCTGTGTTGGCAACCCTTGTTACTCATTTTAACTATTTGAGGGTATTCCATTATCAAATTAATGACAATTTATGCATTCATTCACCTTGTGATGAATCTTTGTTTTGTTTTGTTTTAAAGATTTATTTATTTATGCATACAGAGCTGGGGGACAGGCCAAGATGCAGGGGCCATGAGAGGATTCACCAGAGATAGAGTGGGGAGCAGAACAGGCCAACTGATGAAGTGCACTGCTAAGGGGAGCAGTGGGCAGGCTGCTCCCGCCCTCCCAGGAGAGGTCTGCCGCGCCCTGTGGTCACCTCCAGGGCAGGCAGGGATGGAACTCATGCTGAAGTGGCTTTAACTTCTTAGTGCTGTGCTTTACCCCGCTGCGCCACAAGGGAGGGCTGATGAATCTTTGGTTTTGCACTATTTCTGACACTGAACTTCTGTTGCTCTATATACTCGACAACACTAGCTTCTGTCGGGTTCTTTTTAGTTGTTTAGATTGAGTTCATTTTGTGGGTATGAGATTATATCTTATGCTTTAAATACGCATGTCTGATTTGTACTGTGGTTAAGCACAGTTTATGTTTATGGTTTGTTTGGGTTAGACTTACGTTTCCTATTTATCTTTTTAGTGTGTAGGAATTTCTTCTATATTCCGAGCACAAAATTTTTGCCAGATGAGTTTCAAATACTATTTTTGTATCCTTATAGTGCTATTATTTTATAGAAGTTTTTAATACAGCAACATATTTAGATCTTTTTTATGGCTTCTGCTTTTGCATTTTTTAAAACGATTTTATTTATGTATACAAGAACTTGGGTGTAGGCCAGAGATGCAGAAGGCAGGTAAGAGGATTCACCAAAGACAGGGTAGGGGGCATATCAGATAGATCTTCTGAAATACACTACTGAGAGGAGCAGCGGGCAAGACAGGAGAGGGCTGCTGCACCCTGTGGGTCAGCTCCCTGGCTGGGGGTCGAACTTGTGCTATGGTGGCTAGTGATAGCTGGATAGCTCTGAGACTTTAACCCCTGTGCCACTAGGGAGGCCCCTGTCTTTGCATGTGTAAGAAATGTTTGCCTACCAGTGGACATATATAAATATATAGACATGTACTCATAAAAAATGTCAAGTTTTTATTTTCACTTGTTAGTTCATGTGGCACTTAGTTTTGGCTCTGGTGGAGGCTTCTGTTCCCCTCCTGTAGGTGCTGCTCATAGCAGTGGCTTCCCCACTGCTGCGCTGCATCACTCCCGTGACACAGGAAATACCCACATGTGCTTAGTGTCATTCCCTGCCTGTAGGAAAGCTGCTCTGCCTTAATTTCCCCACCCTAACCCCCACCATTTATGCTCTGGAATATCCTATTGCTTGCTATATAAAATTTTACATGGAATTTAACTTATAGTTCTTTTAAAAAATCATTTTGGGATTTTGGTCAAAACCAAATTGCATTTATAAGTTAGTTTCGGCATACCTAATTTTAAAATAATGAAGTGGCTTAAAGAAGAAATGACTGTATTTGCAAAAATCAGTTTTCAAAAAACCAGGTCTGCAAGAATTCTGAATAATCAAGATTTTGTTATATTTAGGTGAAGGAAAGCCAAACCATTGAATGTGTTTATTCCTGTACTTTAGTAATTCTTAAATATTTAAGCATCTTTAGTTCTTCATTGGGTTTGCCAGTTTTCTTCCTTCATCAAACAATTACTGCTGACTGGTGCTGGCTACCTATCATGTTAGACTGTGCACACAAGTTATGCCACGAAAGCCCCACCTGCTGTGGGCAGATAGTGGAATGCCGACTTCATTCCACGCCATCAATGAGTCAGATGAATTCATCTTTTCTAAAGTTCCTCATTTTTGTCCCTCTTTAGAGACTTACAGCCAGTACAGGGAGCAAACAGCGCAGCCGCCTGTCTGTCATGGCCCAGTACCTCTGCCACGTGCAGCATGTCCTGACGATCCCAGGGCGCGCGTTCCTCCCCAAACCTGAGGTGAGTGTCTGTTGTGGTATACTAGAATTAAGGTTTTGATTGGGATTGTCGTCATTCCTTTGAGAATGTGTCAGAGGAAGCTACCTTGAGGATACAATCTTTATTTCTATGCAACTTGTACCATACCCTTTCTTTACCTCTCATGACTAAGAACTACAAAAAGCACAGCAGGTGTTTTTCATTTTCAAGATTGATTTATTTCTGCATAGAAGAACTGGGTGAGGCCAGAGGTGTGGGTGTAAGGAGGGTTCACCAGAAACAAATTAAGGAGCAGGACAGGTGCATCCACTGAAGTACGCTGCTGAGGGGGCAACAGGTGAGACAGAAGAGGTCTGCTGCGCCCTGTGGGTCACTCCCTGGCCGGGATGGAACTCAGACCGCAGTGGTGATAGTGCTGAGACTTCCCCAGTAGGCCACCACAGGTGCCAGGACTGTTAACTCTTCCCCTAGATTTTCTCCCCTGTGGGCAGAGCGATCTGTTGTCTGGGTTACCCACATGTCCTTGTGGTGGTGACTTCATCATCCTCTTTTGCTCTTAAAAATAGCCCAGTGTGGAAGCTACCCACTGCTCAGAGAAATCTGTATTTTTTTTTCTGTGAATTCTGATAGGAGCTTCTACATAAGTTTCATCAAACATTTCTTATTTATCATGAATTATTTTTCCTCTTTTTTGAGATACCTTTAGGAGTTTAGGAAAACATTGTTAGATATTCACTTAGACTTTTTTGATTGTTGTATGCTAATTACAGAAGACCAAGTGCTAATTACAAGAAGTTTCTTTACCAAAAATAAAAATCACTCCATTGGTGTCTGTTTTCAGAAAACCATTGTTGGATGAGTTACTACAAGACATGCACCATGAAAACTCTACTGTTTCTTCACTGCAAGTGTGTTATACAGAAAAGCATGTTTTTACTGTTTAGAAAGCCAAGGCAGGGAAAGGGCAGAAATAGCCCAGTCAGACATGGAGTCTGCCTTCAGGGGCTTGTCCTGGCTGTGTCAAGTCTGGCAAAGTTACCTTACAGCATTTGATATTCGTTACTTAAAGGAGAAAAAAAAATGTATGTTGTGATTTTTAGCTTTACGTATAGGTCACGGATTGAGAGTGGGTGTCCTAGCCAAAAGTGTTAGACAGGTCGAGACCCTTCTACGTTCTTGCACCGCCTTCCACTTCGTCTGCCCTGCTGTCCACCCCGCCAACAACTTCACGTGGTGATGGGAATTTAGTCCATCTTTCACCTCACATAGCAGGCTTGTCACTTTTTCTAAATCAAACTGAGGGAATTCACTCCAGTACCCATGTCTCAAAAGAAATTTAAATGTCTTTTTGCAAAATAACAGATCCTAGACAGTATTTGGTGGCTGGAGAGATGGCTCACATTTGACTTTCAGGACTGTCTTCTGCTCGAACAGGTCCGTGGAGCAGTGAAAGCCAGGCAGCAGCCACGTAGCAGTTTTTCTTTTTGTATTGCATGTATGTATGTATGTATGTATGTATGTATGTATATGGTTTTCGAATAGTGTAATACTTAATTATATTGGAAACCAGGATCTTTGCTTTAGACTTTTATGGTTATGGCTATTACCATAATCTAAATTTTTTTACATTGTTTAATTTTACCAGAGTTGCTAAGGAGACTGTTAAGATCTTTTCAGAGAAAAGTTTTTCTTTGCTGCGTGTCTCTGTTCAGGCCTGTGTGAAAGTACTTGGTGACAACAGAGGTTATTTTCAAGTTTATCTTTGATTTAGAGACAATCCACCTGTTTTTAGTTACTTTTTGTTCCTCTGGGATGAAGGGCTCATGAAATATTTATTGTTTGGATAAAAGCTATCAGTGTCTTTGACTCTTTTTATTGAGGGATGTTTGCTTTTGTGGCAAATTAAACAGCTTCATAGAAATTTTATTTATATGCCTTTGTTGTAAATATTGCATGCTAGAAATTTATTTGTAATGTAGGAAAGCAGTTATCAAGATGGAGAGGGAAAGCATTATTATACAGTAATAATACAATATACAATAAATCAAATGTTTAAGGTTTAGTTCTATAAGAACTCTGTGCTGCTTGAAATAGTTATACCATGTCAGGACAGATCAGGAATTTTCTAAGAAAATCCAGGAAATACTTGGATGATAGTAACATTGAACGAATGTTTTAAAAATTCATGTTCTTAAGATAGGGAAAGAGTTTTTCCAAAATAACAATATAATAAGACTGTCCCTCTGGCTAAACTGTTCTGAATACAAAAATAGAAAATCGTAAACAAACCTACAAAGTAAAGCATCCTAAGTGCTAAGGTAAAGGCATAGGCATATTCCTGGTTAATTCTATGTGACTAATCAAAAGAAATTTACTAAAATTCAATAATTATTCTCAACTAGAACTCTAAGAAATAGATAATGGAGACTGTCTTCTTGTGCTGTGAAGTACTTGCTTATAACCCCCTTACGATTTTTCCCACTAGAATATGCTATCCATTATCTATTGGGCTTTAATAGCAGAACGTTCATGATCATGAAACTTTTATTACCATGTTTTGAATAGTTAAATTCCTGCCAAGCTCCCGCTTACTAACTTCTCTGTTTCAGTCCCCAAAAGTGAACCCCAGATTCTTTACTAGCTACAGGAAAAAAACATAAATTCTTAGTTAGACTAGTCTGGTCTAGTATCTTAAACTCCTGGAGTTTGTAGTATGTAGCTTTAAGTTAGGATTTTTTAGATTTCAATTGCATTAATAAAATTATTTCACCAATTTATAACACAAAACCCCTCTCTTTATAGTGTAGATTAACAACTAAAAAATGTTTCCATGACAGAGGAAAATTTGGTCCTTAATTTTCTCAAGGTTGATCTGAAGACCCTTGAGAATCCACTTGTTTCTGGAGCTCAGAGTAACTATTTTTTCAGCTGTACAGCACTCAAGTTTGAACTAAGCTGCTAGAAAGTCCTTCAGAATTCTGTCATCTTTTGCTTTTATAAAATGTGGTTAAGAGTCTCACAATCTAAAATCCTTCCAACAGAATGGACAATCTTAATATTTGAACGCTATCCATAGTCTCACCTAGTAGAAAAGGAACTTACAGGCAGTCATAGAATTGCAAGAATCTTTTTGATTGACAGTGATCAAGATGACATACCTTCCTGGAAGAAGTATGGGCTTTTGAAGTAAAGCTGCTGGAATTCCAGCTACCCTAGTGTAAGGATTTAGTCAGGCTAATTGACTGAGTGTTGGCATGTCTTCAATAGAGGCAGGGATGCCACCCTGGGAGGGTTAGCGTGTAGGTTAGTGTCTGGCGTGCGGAGACAGGCAGTGCAAGGTGGTTATGACTATAATAATCACAAATATTTATGGACTAAGTTGTAATACAGCTATTGTGGGCTATAATTTTTAAGACACATATGGGCATATCTTATATACATACATAAACGTATACATAAACACATACATGCATAAATTTCCTATTTAGAAGTGTGCTACATGGGGCAAATGACCCAGACATTATAGATTTACGACTTCAGTAGTGTCAATATAATTCTACGTGTTAATGGTAAACTACCTCCATAACATGTTACAAGGAAAAAGTCAGCACCTGGACAGTCACACCTGGCCTTTGAGGTTTGCGTTTTAGAGGCTTCCAGCACATTTGCTCACAGATGGTGAGGCCTCAACCCCCACTCCATATGAAATGATCTGGCATCAGTGACTGTCTGGGTCCACACAAGAAACTGCTGTCTTTATGCCTTTGTGTTTTTGAAATCTGATATCGAGGATATTTCTGTTGTATATTATGCTGTATTTCAGAGTCTTTTTGGATCTAAGTTTAGAAGACTAGTATTTATTTGTTTAACCTGCTTTAGAGGTGGTTTCCTAGAATCAAAGATGAAGAATTTTTTTTTAATTATTTTTTAAAAATCTGTTTATGTATACAGAACTGGGGTATAGACCAGAGACGCAAGGGCAGTGAGAGGACTTACCAGAGACAGCAGGAAGCAGAACAGGCAGACTGATGAAGTACATGGCTGAGGGGAGCAGTGGACGAGTCAGGAGAGGTGGGTCGCGCCCCTGGGTGGGGATCGAACTCATGCTGAAGTGGCTTTAGCTTCTTAGTGCTGTGCTTTAACCCATTGCGCCACCAGGGAAGGCCCTTAATTATATTTTTACTGTGGTAACATTGCTTTATGTCACTGTATGATCAGGGTACAGGTCCATACCTTTTCAGATGTTTGTTGACCACCCCCCGACAGGAGTGTCCACAGTGACCTACCACATTCCACTGAGCCCTACCTGCTGTACTTCCTGCCTCCCACCCTGCCCCTGGTAGCCCAGTTCTGCGGTCAGGTAGTAAGGTTTGTGTGATTTAATTTTATCTGTTCCATTGTTTCTTTCTATTTCACTGAACATACTCCTATCCAGTTGCATCTGTTGTCGATTGTAACTGAGTAGCACCCTACAGCGTGGGAGTGGAATAAGTCTCATCTTCTTTATCTGCTCTTCTGTCCATGGCACTTAGGCCATTCCTCTTAAGTTTGTTTCTTTAAACAGTGCTGCAGTGAACTTAGAAGAGCATACCCTTTGAATTAGTTTTGGGTGGAGACATAAAAGTGAAATTACTGGATCATCTAGTAGATCCATTTTTAACATTGGGAGAAATTTTCCAACTCTTTTCCATAGGAGTTGTTCCAGTCTGCATTCCTGCCAGCCTTGGAAGCGGGTGCTTTTCTTTTCACATCCTCGTCAACAGTTGTTGTGTCTGGTCTTCTGTGTGTGGGCGATTCTCAAGGGGTGAAGGGGGATCTCACTGTAGGTTTGGTTTGTATTGTGATAAGCGATGATGAACAATTTTTCACTCCACTTTTTGATTGGGTTTTGTTTCTTTTTCTTGAGTGGGGTGAGTTCGCTGTAGATCTTGCATATCAGCCCCTGTTAAATGTATGATGTCCAGGTATTTCTGTCACTGAGGGGAGCCTTTTATTTTGATGTGTCCCATTTGTTTATGTTTGCTTTTGTTACTCTTGTTGTAGTCAAGTCCCCAAAGAGATTCCTGAGGCCAACTTCATGAACTGTTTTCCTTCTCCTTTCTTCTGTTTGTTTTATGGTTTTAGGTCTTAAATCCATGCCTTTAATTTATTTTGAGATAGTTTTTAAGTTTGGTGTGAGAAGTGGACAAGATAAGGTAAGGACTTTCATGAAAGGTGAGGTATGGAGTGTCCTCTGGAGAAGGAGTCATCGGTGGAGGCAGCTCTGAGGGCGCTTGCGCTCCAGCAGCAGCCTGAAGTGCGCCCTCCCAGCAGCCCCGCCGCTGGCAGATTCCATAGGTGCCTTCGCTGCCCTGCCTGGGAGGCACCAGGTAAGGTTCTTGGTCCATTGCAGTAGCAGCCTCCAGGCAGGTTTCCGAAATGGTGGTTTTCTGTCTTTTCTTTGGAACTTCAGTTTTTCAACTTTATCATTGGCTTTTCTGCCGACTATGCCAGCAGTCTTATTGTTAAGTTGCCTCAAGTTCTTTTTTGAAAGTGGGTAGTTTGAAAATAAATATGTAAACTAAGAGCCAGTTTTATAATGAATGAAGTGCCAGGGTCATCCTTCTAAAAAATAGATCTCTTGACTAGAAATAATTCTTACTACAATCTAATACTAATTATATTCTTACAACTACTCAAGAAAAAAAAATGTACAGGAAGTACTATAAATCCAAGGCAAGAAGCAGCAAAATTGCTTTTTTTGCGGTGACATATCTATATCTATAAAGTGCAATGAAATGAGCAAAATTATTGGAGGTTATGAAGAGACACACACCAGATTCTGCAGAATCACAGTGTCAAATCCTCAAGAGTGAAAGTTAATATATGCTGCTGATGTATCGCTTAATACAGTGAAAAAAGAAATGTCATCAGAAAACACTAGATCCAAACTGAATTTAATTCTAGCTCTAAACTGAACTTTCTTCAGTCTGCCCACCCTCAGCCTCTCCTCCCCATGCATTTAGTATGCTGACTAATGACACTTTCACCTGCCCGAGTTAGATACTGAAACCTGGAGACTATTCTGAGTTCCCTTTCGCCTTTATCCCTGCAACCAGTCACTAACTTCTGACACCACTTACGTTTCTCTGATACCAGATTTGTACCCATTTCTCCTGATCTAATTTAAATCTTCACTTACCCGAATGGCTAGATGGTAGATGGTTCCTTCAGCCATGTGAGACATAAGCGCACACACACTCACCTAGTCTGTAGGGAAGCAGTCCGCGGAATGGGAGACGGTATCAGCAAATCATGCAGCTAATAAGTGATTATGTCCCAAGTAGATAAAGAGCTCATTCAGCTCAACACCAGATAAACAACTGCATTAAAAAGGGGGCAGGTGATCTGAATGAACACTTCTCCAGAGAAGACATACATCTGGTGAAGGGACAAGAGGCATACTCCTCATCTTTTACTAGTAGGGAAATGCACATCTCCTGCCTATGAGAATGCCTGTTAATCAGAAGGCGAGAAACAAGTGTTGGAGAGGATGTGGTGAAAAAGAAATTCTTGTACAATGTAAATTGGTGCTGCCATTTTGAAAAACAGTGAAAATTCTTTCCAAAAAGGAAAAATAGAAATTCTGTACAAACTGCTTCTGGGTCCTTATGCAAAAATATGAAAACATTAATTTGAAGATCGATATGTGCCCCCCTGTTTATTGTGGCATTATTTACAATAATGAAGAGCAGGAGACAATTTCCTTGGTAGTTCCGCATAATCTGTGAATGTCATATTTGTCAGTGCTCACAAATTTCCAAAGAGGCGGGGACATCACAGGTGATGGCTCAGCTCAGGTGGGCAGCTGGGTTTTATAGCATCGGGCGGGGTCAACAGCTCTCCTCCCTAATGTGCTATCAGACTTTAGTACTGAAGGCTACTGCAGAGATGCAACAAGAGACCCTGGATCAACACCAGGCTTTTTATACTTGGAATTTTAGCTCTTTTGTAAAATCCAATTAAGTGCCAATTTAGACGACGTATCAACAGGTTATGTTAAAAAGCACAAGAACTGTCCTTTAATTCTTACTAAATATAACTAGAGTCCCTTTCAGTTATAAATCTAGCTAAAACATGAAAGTAGTAATAAAAATCATATTTTTTATAGTTTTGTGCATGATACTTTGTTCATATTTTAAACAGCCACATCATTTATAAAGTATTTTATATTCTTTCAGAGAAAGTGAAACATAATTTGAAGAGCTTTCTTTATATGTAAAAGACAAACAGCCACATCAGCTTCCTAAACTAGCCCCAAGTATCACAGTTATTCACACGTAATCCTTCAGATTGTATACTGAATTGCCCTCTGGCTGTTTGGTGGAGATAGGTTGCTGCTTGGGTGGATGGAGCCAAGCTTCTGGATTATTTTTCACACAGGAAGTGCAGAAAATCAGACCAGAGATAAACAGCAGGATGGCTGAAATAAATCCAATGTAGACAGCCCCTCCAGGCTCAAGTTTGTTGCTTTCTGGAACTGTCAGGTCCCAGAAGTCAGCTATGATCTCCTTTGTGTACCACACTGTTGGTATCAGGCCAGCGATCCCTGCAGCCAGGAAGCAGACTCCTCCAGCCACAGAAGACTGAGCCTTGGTTTCTCTGGTCCCTCCTAATCTAGTACATTTCATTCCCACGGCAGAAGCGCAGACACCTAGAGCAGACAGCACACAGGCCAGCACCATCGTGGCCCGTGCCACCTGCACATGGGCGGGGAGCGACAGCGTGGAGTACTTGAGGGTGCAGCTGAACATCCCAGTGCTGTACCACGTGCAGTCCATCCACAGCCCCTGGAGCTGGATGATGGCTGTGATGATGTTGGCACCCCCATCCACGGTCACCTTCCAGCTGGGCAGCAAAGTCGCTGTGAGCACACCAGAGACTCCAGATAAAGCCAGCACGAAAGCAAGAAGTTGGAGACCTGCAGAGGCCATGACCTTCCTGCTCCCTTTGTCCACTGAGAAAATCCTGGTGCTTGATGATGACTCTGGGCCAAAGCTGTAGCTCTCTTTGGGCCCTCTAGAACCAAGTGACAAAGGCTGGGGAAGGAAGATAAAGTCAGGGTGTAAGGTCGTTAGTCTAAACAGAAAGGTTGCTCTGTGCAGCAGGAACCGAGAACACACCTGATGAATAGACCCGGAGTGGAGGAGGATGCTACAGGAGAAGAGCTCACTGCAGGCCCCAGGAGAATCCTCCCTTGAGAGATAGCCTCGGTGGGGCGTGTCACAGCCGCAGGAAAGTGCGGTCTTTGCTCTTCTTAAAACTTGATCAATGCCAGAGCTGTCTATAGAGCAGGCATGTGCCTGGCTAGGAGATCAGGCATACCAGGTTCTGGCTGGAGGGTCTGAAAAGGAGTTTTAATAACACTGTACGTTTTAAAGTTTTCTTATTGCTTAGAGTATAAGTAAGAAGACATGAATAGTTTTAATACCTCTTGTTAAAAAATGATTTATGGCCCTCCCTGGTTGCACAGCAGGTTAAAGCACAGCAGTAAGAAGCTAAAGCCACTTCAGCATGAGTTCAGTCCTTGCCCCTGAGGTGACCACATGGCGTGGCAGACCTCTCCTGACCCGCCTACTGCTCCCCTCAGCAGTGTACTTCGTCAGTCAGTCTGTTCTGCTCCCCACTGCCTCTGATGAATCTTCTCACCACCCCTGTACCTCTAGCCTGTACCCCAGCTCTGTATGCATAAGTAAATCTTTAAAGGGGCATTTATAAATTTACACTAGAAAAGTTTTAAGTATGCAAAGACTGGTCTTAATTTAGAAAGAAATTACTCCACACCCACCATCTGCTAGGCCGAGGGCCAGGTGAATTGCTTGTGGAGAGTAATAGAAAGAGGCTGAGGTCACTGGTGTGATTACCTGATTCCAGTCAACATCCACTCACAAGATCCTTACCTCCATCTGCCTGTGTCACCTCAGCTTCAGGTGCACAAAACTGCAGTGGGTTAGCCACTGTCTGCTGCTCATGAGACTGCGAGACCCTTTTGCTTTAGAACCAGAATCAGCCCCTGAACTCAAAGGAGCGCCTATCACCAAACAGGTTGTGCTCAGCAGCCAGAAGTAGTTCAGGCGTGGCTCTGTGTAAGGCAAGCAGGGAAAATGCGGGCCAAGCCCAGCACATCGCTCATTGTTTGTGAAACGATACCAGAAAGGATCTACCACTTGATTTCAAGAGGGAAAAAAGGCAATTTGTGACGGGCCTGTGTTTCAGTCCAGCAACACTCACCGCTGCCTGTGAAAGAACATAGTGGCATTGCAGCACCGCAACACTGGCTTCTGGTGTACCTGGGTCAGTTTTTCAGGGGTGGGTCAGAGCGGCCCCATCCTGACTCTGAGTTTGCACAAGGCAGCCCGCTGTCAGTCCTGACTCCCCGGAGCCCTCGGCCTGGGCTTTCTCCTGTGGAGCGGACAGGCTGTGCCCTGGACACCAGAGCGCCTTATGGGCTTAGGACAATCAATGTCTGATCAGTAAAGGACTCAAATCAGAAAGCCCATTCTTGTTTCATATCATGTGGACATTGGTATTTCTTGACATTGGAGTTTTTTTCTTCCTTCCTTAGGCTGCATTATTTTCAGACTCTCAGAACTGAAAGAACCATGGATATAACCTTGTGCACCATGGTCTTTTCAGATTAGGACGTGCAGGCAGCGAACCACCCCAGCCCACCCAGGCAGTGGCCATTGGGCAGTTCCAGTCTTTTCTACCCCCAGTGCCTTACCCCACCCTCTACCTTTTCCCCACTTTCCTGTGCTGTTCCCGGGACAGATTCCCCTGTGAGCTTCCTTCAGGAAGCAGGGGAAATGCTACACTGCTATGCAGAAAGCACCATGGCTACTACGTCCTCTGTTCCCTCTACCAGGAGAAATGTCCCGGGGTGCGGACAGGGCCAGTGGCTTGGCTTCAGAGTCCCCTGGAGTGGGGGTGCTGCCTGCCTGTGCTAAACGCCTCAGTAACAACAGTGACACCTGTGTTAAGTACTCACATTAGAACATACCCATAGTTCCGAAGAAGTGAAATACTATAGGCTGTCTGAATTCCATGCTTCATTTTAGTCATAGTTTTAATAAATCCTACAGTCGTGAGGGAATTTCGCTGCAATTTTAAATTCTTAGGAATCAGGCTGCTTAGAAGCATCATTAGGCTGCTGACACCATAGATTCCCTTGCTGTTTTCCAAATTTCTTTTCATGTCTGAGAACAGAAGTTAAAAGTTTCTAGGAAAAGTGGAGCACAAGTTTGTATTTTCTTAATAGCTGTTTTCAGGTTTGGGCTTTAACATTTCAGACTGCAGCCAGCTCACTAAATTACTGCCTTCCTAGACCTTCATCAGCTTCAGGCTTTTTCAAGAGTGAAACTGTTAGCGCTGCCTAAGAGAACAGCTCCCTTCTTGTACTTTGGTCGAATGACCTCTCTGTGTTGATCAGACCCCAGTTATAACCTTTCTTTCCCATTAATTAATATATTTTGTGAATTTCAGGTATTTCAGACGTGCCCACAGGTTATGCATCTCAGTTAAGTACTGGCAGTGATATATTGCAAGCAGCCAAAATTAGTGTAAGCAATAGGACATTGCATTCAGTTAATAACATAGGGCTCGATTACTGTGGAATACTGAACTTTAAATTCTTTCTTCTGTTAGAGAACTTAGGCAGAAAGGATTCCCCAAAACGAAGGTTACTGTTCTTTTCTGTCTGTAAAAATAGAGTGGCATCTCTGTTCTATTGCTGTGAAATGTTTTATTCTCTCCGCCACAAGTTCAACACAGATTATGGCCTGTTTTCTCAAATTTCTCCTAGTAGAAAATAAAGGCTTCCTTTGTTTCGGGGGCGGCTGGGGAGGGTGCACTGTGAAAGTAAGCAAAAGCAAAGGGATGGCTTGTGAAACCTTAGCTCCAGATAGCGCAGCTCCAAAGCACATTCCATACAGCAGAACCCGTGTGTTACATTTATGAACAGTTCTCCTTTAGAAGGTCTGTAGTGGATTTCATTAAGATGCAAAGGCTGTATTTCAGATAGGATTTGTTTATATCAAAACTATATTTGAAGGCAGACATACAGCTTAAAATTGAAATTAAGTAATACAGATCACTACTTACGTCTCTGCATTATAGAAGTTTCTCCATACCTTTACTTTGTAGCCTCTAATGTCAGTCGTCTTCAAGTGAGCCCCAGTAAGGTCTGATGAAGAGAAGCCGCATACATGATGCTCATTTCACAGCTCTGAATATTAGTGAGAAAGCTTCAGACAGTTAACTGCAGTACCAAGTAAAAAGCAGCACAGAAATCGAGAGGTCAAAACTGCCGATGGTGCTAGAAGATAAACACCAGGTCCTCCGTCTCATTTTTTGAGCTGTGGGAGAATTAAAAGAGGAGAGGCGGGGAGGGGCGGGAGTTTTTGTTACAACAGGGTTTGTCAAAACCTAAAAGCTGAAAATGCTTTTGTGTCACTACGTTCCGAGGAGGGATCCCTGGGGTACCCACACACAGGCTTTTCTTTTAATGTTATGTCTTACTCTGCCGTTGTAGTTTATTTTTGAATTTGTATCTATGCTGGAAGATAGTTCATTACTTTGTGACCCCAATTGAAGTATTATGGTTTGAATATTTTTAACTAGATTGTGCTTTGCAAATGATCATTGAGAATCTATTCTGGTGCTTGTAACTTGTCTAAAATTAAGATTCACAAAATCAATAATTTCAAGAACAGACATTCAAGAGAGTTTAAATACACACATACACAGGGTTTGTATATCTGTTTAAAAAGAAAGGGAAATGCAGCATCTCTTGTTTACAAGAATTTGATCAACAAACCTACCAGTACATGTCTTGTGATTCCTTCTGCTGAGAAGGGTTTCTGGAGTACAACTTAATGATTAGCGGAACTTTCTGAAAATGTTGTGCAGGACACCAGAACAAGGTGCAGAAACAGCCTGGATGAAACTGTGAAATCAAGTGTTGAGTTGCTAGACCATAAGTAATGTTATAGATATATTTCACCTCCATCAACATTGGGTTCTTCTTTCTTTCTCCTCCTCAGTAATTTTAAACCTATAAGCTATAAATTCATTGTCACTATGAATTTAAAAAGAAGATAATTTCATAATTGGCTTTTTTAAATGTTTAGAACGATGCATAGCCATATTGACCATTTACGCAGAGAATATTGAAATTCATCTGGATTTGTTCTAGATGTGTCTGTCATATTTTGTTGGTGTTATCTGAGTTTAGAGTCTGATACTTAAAAAGATACTGTTTTCTTCTCAGGAAAATCCAGTGTCTATGGGTTTTTTAGCAAGTATTACAATTTTGACATAGAAGAGTGCTCTCATTTTGTGGAAATAGGGCGATTTGGGGGTAAATGCTGAATGAAGTAGCGCTGTGTTCTGAATGGTGGTCACGCCACTCTGTGTTGCGGGATTAGTGGAGCCCTCCCAGCCGTGAGCCCCTGGGCCGGGCCGCTGCCTGGCATACAGGTGGGTGCCCTGTCCGGGCAGAGAGGCACAGGAGGGAACCGCCTGCTGCTCCTCTGGCCTCCGGCCTGACACTGTTGGCTGGGAATAAAAGAGCTCAGGTTTAATGGATATTCCTGGGGTCGAGTGTAATTTTTATTATTCTTCAGCCTTAATGGGAACTTCATCCCATAAAATACGGTCTGGTTTTAAAAGGCAGCCTTCTGAAATGCGACGTTATAGTTCCATTAGCTATAGGCCTCTAAGCAACCCACACTTTCTGGTATAAAAAATGAGCTAGAAAAGTAGAGGTATGCAGGGCCATGTATTTCATCAATATTCCAACATGGATCTTACAGTGAATTAAATCTTTTTAAGTCCAAAGACTTCCACAGGCAAATTGTAAGACCTTGTGTTTGTGATCATTACCTGCCTTCTCCTCTGCTCCACCCAGTTGTCTCTTCAACTGTCGGTGTGAGTC